CTAATCATTAAGGCCCCTACCTTAGCCTCCCAGCCCAGAGGTGAGCGCAAGAGCTCCCAGAGATTTGAAGCCTGGCCTGACCGAAGAGAGATGCCGGAATAAGAACAACACCAATACCCTTAGCATCAAAATAGCCCAACAGCCTTGTATAATCGGGTCTTGGAGACCAAAAGCCTTAAAACATAAGTCCTTTGAGGGTACGTAGCGCATATTCTTCCTTTGGGCTCCCTCTTGCAAATCAGAATATTGTAATATACCCTAACATGCCTCAACACCCTCTTCTCATTAATTGAAAGGCTCATTGTGTATGGCTGTGGCATAGCCATGGATCAGGTTCTTTTGCAAGCAAGTCCCGCGTCATCCATAAAACCTTAAACTCCTAAACCCTAAACCCCTAAGCCCTAAAACCCTAAAGCCCCAAGCCCTAAACCCCCCAAACCCTAAACCCTAAACCCCTAAACCCCAAAGCCCCTAAAGCCTAAATCCCTAAATTGTAAGCCGACACTCGAACCGCGAGGCTTCAACGTGTGACCCAAAAGTCGTTGTAGGAATATTTACGAAAGGTCTCGGGTTTAGGGGTTAGGGTTTAGGGGCACGTCAGATACGCTTCCAATATACGAACTGCCGATAGGACTGCGTCTGGTGGATGGGGTTGCCGAGATCGTATCTGAGATCGTATTGAATCGTGCCAGAATCATAACCCTAAGGGTCCAAAGGACCCAATAATAAGGTACTTTGGTTGCGGACAGTAGTTTTCTAGGTTAATATTTGGGAGCGTATATGATTATTAGGTACTTGGACCCTTAGGGTAACATACCCATATCAACCCGTCATACAACCATTGAGTGTTGGGAGGATCGCAAGCCTCAAGTGTTCATTTGACCCCTAAATGGTACGGGTCTCTTTTGCGCTCCACTCACTAGGTTGAAAGCTCGAACGGTTCCACCCCAGATGAGAGGAAACCACCCATAGGCCCCATAGTAGTTCCTTTTTGTGGCTTATATTCAGGATTCTATTAAGGAATCCCCAAAAGGAACTTCTACGTGGCCTATGGGTAGGTTGCGGAGTTTGGGTGGGCGTCCTAGAGCCTCTTGGACTCTACGTCTTGTGGGCGAAAGCTGTGGGTGCAACACAACCCTGAGTCAAGCCTGCGCGCTTGCATTTCAGAGCGCAGGAACTGAGTACTTAAAGCATCATGGGGCTTAGTAACTAAGGTCATTATTAGGGTAACTATACTTATAAGTACTTATAACCTTCAATTAAGGGACTTATAACCATACTTACTAAGTCCCATGATCCTTCAAGTACATCTTACAGCATGGAAGGCAGCTGCAAGTGATGATGACATTCACGGCGATGGAATCCTCTTATACCTGCCCTGAAACACAGGAGCCATCGCCTTCAACCACGCAGACGGTGAGGTCTGGCTCTGTAGCTGTGCTGCACTACGATGCATCGGGGAGAGCCTTACAAACGAATGAAGCCTAAAAGGGTTTGAGGTTCGTTTTCGTATTGAGGCTCCTACTTATGATTAAGGGCCATTTGGTCCTGAAGTACGAGGGCCAGGATCTCGTGACCAGGTCTGATGCTTCCACAAACTGCTGTGGACGATTTTCGTTTGGGGTTTAGAGTTCAGGGTTTGAGGGTTTAGGCTTGTAGTGCGCAACCCAGGGGAATGGTTGATTGATATTGATTCTCTCTCACAGACGCATCATGTGTTCCAAGTTTAGACATTGACATGCGTCGGCGTGTAGCCAATATGTGGAGCGATTGTGAAGAAGCTGCATCAGCGAACTTATCGCCCAAGGAAGGATGCACCGCCTTTGTCTACCCAAAGAAGTAATCAATGTTGGCGTCATGCTGGTTGGGAGCGCCGTCATGTACTCGGTCGACTTCTCTTTGTCCTTGTCAAGCATCCAAGCGGCCTGCACGTGAGTATAGGTAAACCCATTGACAACGGCAGCGCTTTATCACCGTGCTCCATGGTTTGAGACTCTGTCCCAGACAGTAACTCTTTCCAACTCTTTCCTTCTTCATGGTGCATGACCTCTTCCTTTGCTCTTGTAAGGGTCTCTTTTCGAGCACATGTATGGACAACGCTAGATGGGACGGGTCTGAACGGGGGCATGGGCAGTGACAGATCACACCTTTCCATGAGTCTACCAAAGCAAAAAATACTGTGCGGTCCCATGATGGATTCTTTCTCAAAGCAAGAGAAGCCGAAGAGACCGTAATAATGATTCCATAAAATTGTCAGAAGCTTTCATGTGTAAACCGACATAAACCGGTCAGGGTTTGGGGCTTGAGGGTTGTAGGCTGCATATTCTTGTGTTTCCAATTCCGAACCTCCTACACACATGATTTCGGTGTTTGGGGACTTTGGGGTTTACGGTTTCGGCTTCTACACTACACCGTCTCAGGCAGGGGGAAGGTGCCGCCGCATCCACCAACTGGCCCAGCCGCTGCCCCGCCTCCTGCGGCGCTCGCAGGGCCGGGGCCCATGCCTTGCCAGGCCTCACGATTTGATCGATGAACGAAGGTTTGGGTTTAGGGTTTAGGGTTTAGGGTTTAGGGTTTAGGGTTTAGGGTTTAGGGTTTAGGGTTTAGGGTTTAGGGTTTAGGGTTTAGGGTTTAGGGTTAGGGAGCATGTAATGTATATACATATACATACACACACACACAGAGGGACGCACGTATAGGGGTTCAGCTTAGGGCTTTGGCCCTCTATACTGTTTTGGCCCGAGACCGCGCAGCCTGAGGCAGACCAGGGTGGGGGATCGGGGGCCGGGAAGGGGCGACAATACACTGCCGATCGCAGGGCGATCCGTCGCCAAGTATGAGTTTGGGGTTTAGATAAGCTTGGGGATTGAGTATGGAGCAGTGCTTTTGGGATAAATGTTTCTCACAAAGCTTAGGCTGCAGAGTGTGGTGCGCATGACAAAGCCTAAGCTTTGCAGTTTTAGGGTTCCGGATTTCTCTTTAACCTTGACTTTGTCCTTACGCCAGGGGTCAGCGATGCAAGCTGCAAGCCATGCCACTGGCGGTGGAGATCAATCCAAACCAGCGGTGTACAGCATGACACCGGAGGCAAGGAGTTTGGCATGTTGGGGCATCGCTCGTCATGGGATCTCGAATGTGGTAGCCTAATTTTTTCGATGCTGCAGGCCCTGCCAGACCAGGTTTTGAATTGCATGTTTCCTGCAGCAGACGGGAGCCATGTTCGTAAAGCCCTAAACCCCTCAACCACCCTAAATCGCGAATCCAGGAGATCCTCCAGATCGTTCAGACAAAATGCCAGGTTCGAAGGGGCCTCGCAAATTGTAAGAAGTCTAGAACTCTAAGATTAGGACTTGTTGGCTTAAGGATTTAAGGGTTTAAGGCTTTCAGGGTTGAGGGCTCTCACCCTAACCACTCAATCGAAAAATGCAAACACCCTGGGTCGCACCTATAGGGTTCTGGGGTTATAAGTGGGGGTTTCCGAAAACACGGGACCCTAATATAGTACCCTAAATAATAGGATCCCTATTATAAGGACCCCCAAATAAGGTACCCCATATTTTCTGAAACTCCCAAGTGTCAGGGGCTTAAGGGTGTGAGTCTTAAAGGCTTAGGGGTTTAAGGCACAGGGTCTCTATTTGGGGGGGTTTAGAGTTCTACGATGTCCTAAACCCTAAACCCTAAACCCGATGTTGGGGTTTTGGGGTTGAGGACTGTAAGCGTAGTGTGCTGCAGTTTTTTGATTAGAGCAGGCTCGGGAACTGCGCATGCGAAGCACTATGGCCTCCTTGTGGTGGATTTGAGGGTTTCAGAAAAGTAGGGGCCCTGTTTTGTTTGAACTTCCGTGTGGAAACCCACCCTCGTGCTTCAGACTGCAGTGGATGTTTCAATCATCATCATGAAACTCGAGAAGCATACTGTCCTAAGGACCCCCTAAACCCTAAACCGTATGAAACCCATACACCCTAAACCCGAACCCAAAAACCCATGCAAACCTTCGTTTAGACGAGCTTTGAAGGCTTCTTGTCAAAAGAGAAGCCTAAATAATTACCATCAGGCGCCCAGTCCTACACCGCAGGGCCCTTAACGGCAAAGCCAGCACCGATACTTCATAGTATTACTCTGCAAGTCAAAGGCCTCCCTAAACCCTAAACACTAAACCATAACCCTAACCCCCCAGGTACCTACAATATGGGGCACTAGAGCCCCTAGGGCCCTATATAGTAGGTACCTGGAGGGTTGGGGTAATGGTAAGAGGACCCGAAAGCGTAATATCCCCAAGTCACGATGCAGACTTTGAGGGTTTGGGGTTCAGGGGATTCAGCATCCCTCAGCTCATTGAGCGGTTTAGGGTTTAGGGTTTAGGGGTTGGGGGTTTAGGGTTTACATGTCGAACACTTCGGGCCCCTGATCCGATCCAGAATGCAGGAAGGCGTGCCCTACATCTTACTGGCCCACATCGGACATCCGACAACATCCTCTGGCGACATCTCTGCCTGCCACTGGCTACTCTGGTGGCAATCTGCCCCCCTGAACCCCACCCCCGCCGGCCCCGCCTTCCTAGCATGAAACGCTGTGGTTCGTCAGGGGCAGCCCACAAACCCTAACCCCCCAGGTACCTACTTTATAGGATACTAGAGCCCTGGAGCCCTATCAAGTAGGGACCTGGAGCCCTAAACCCTAAACCCTAAACCCTAAACCCCTAAACCCTAAACCCTAAACCCTTAGGGACAAAGACGTTGTCCATCCGTTTGATGTTGCAGGGCTCCCTCCAACTCCAGCGTTCCGAACGTCTGTTGACATATCCTTTGGAAGCTTTTGGGCTGTGGGGTCTCGTCGTCACTTCGCCCCGCCCACAAGTAGCCATAGTCTTTAATTAAAATAAAACATCTTTATCCGAATACATAATATTTAAATTTCCTAATAATAACATATTCAAGTATAGTCTTTAGGGTTTAGGGTTTGGGGATTAGGGCACCTTCAAGCGCTGAAGCCCTCCTCCGCAAAGTGTCAAGCCAGTCTCTCCTATAAAACGAATCGAAGATGCTGGTTCTTTCTGTTTAGGGCTTATAGGGTTTAGGATGGGTTTAGGCTTAATGGCTGTTTCTTTTTGTTTACGATAGGGTTCATGGGGTTATTGGCTGTTTCTTTCTGTTTAGGTTATTATAGGGTTTATAGTGTTATTGGCTCTGCGGCTCGGAACAGCCAAAGACTGTCTAGGGTTTAGGGTTTAGGGTTTAGGGTTGCTTCAGATGTGACCTTTCAGACATGGGGCATGGCATGACCGGCTCCTCGGATTCTACCCCTCGCGCACAAGAAATCCCTGGCACACCCTAGACCGCATTGTCCGGTTTTTTGGCTTTAGGGTTCAGGCATGAACCTGGGTTAGGTTTGGGAACCCTAGCTCCCTTCATCCGGAACCTTTTTCATCTTCCATAGTCGAGTGTTGGGCTAAGGGGCAACAAGCTTGATTAGCATAAAACAGGCATATAGGCGTGGAAACTTAGCGACAAGCTCGGGTGTTATAGAGGGTTGTTGTTTCTTTGTGGCGCTCGCTCAAAACTGTGGAGGCAGGGTTTAGTGTTCAGGGTTATAGACGCTTCTTGGGGTATGTCGGATCGGACTGGGACAGCCAGGTGATCTTCCATTTTCTTGGGTTCCACGCTGGCATTAGATTTGCTTTTAGCTTGGACCCTGTATTCGAGACTAAAGCTAGGGAAGCATAGAGCTGCATAGCACAACATCCACAACTCAACATGTGCCCTGAACCCTACACCTGAACCTGGTTCAGCCCCCAAGCCATTGAATCCAAAGCTCCAAGTGCCGCCAGTACTGTACTGGGAGCCCCCACCCCAACCCTACCTGTGGCCAACCCAAAAAATCTTTCCGATTTAATGAGCTGGTATATAGAAACCATAACAAAGAATCCTAAGCCCCCCTAAACCCTAAACCCTAAACTCATAAACTCGTAACAAGGAATCCAAAGCCCAAGTCCCGGACCCTAGAACAGTCGCCAGCGACCATCCACACGAGGCTTGGGACGAAGAACACTTGGAAGCCTGCAGTCAAACACAATGCGCCCTGTCATAGCCACGGTTTAGGGTTTAGGGTTTAGGGTTTAGGGTTTAGGGTTTAGGGTTTAGGGGCCTGTGGGTTCTGGGGGGCGGCTTGCTTAAACGCTCATGGGACCCAGTAGGTAAGCTTGTAAGAAGGATTTTTAATTAGGATAACTCAGGACAGCGGTTAGTTTGGGCACTTATAACCCCAAATATGACCATGCTTACGAAGTCCCGTGGGCCCTAAAGTAATCCTGTTCTTAGAGCGGGTTTGGGGGGCTGTGCCCGATGATTGCAAAGGCAGCGAAACGAGCGGGGATTTGTGGTTCAGGGAATAGGATGTAGGCTTGCTGCTCCATGCAGCTCCTGTTTCGTGTCTTTCGTGTGTCTCGAAGTCTGCATCCTCGAGAGAAGGGTTCGACACGTAATACTCTCGAAACCTCAGCCATGTGTACAGTCGTCAGAGTTGGCTCGCTGGAGGTTCTAATGGGGATGGCCTTTTGGGACCTAATTCCATAATAGTAGGGTATATGGACCCCTTTATTGGGGAGCCTTCGGGGTGTTGCAAGAGGTTATTTTGTTTTACTCCGGCCAAAGGTGGTGGATTGAAAAGGGGCCATGGGTTAGGATTTCAGGCCAGGCTTAGAGGGGTTGCGACTAGCACATTCAGGCAGGGAGAATACTCGTGTACGTGGGCACTGCCTCGCCCTACACCCTAAAACCCTAAAACCCCCAAAACCCCTAAAACCCCTAAAACCCTAAACCCTAAACCCTAAACCCCTAAACCCTAAGCCCCTAAACCCTAAACCCTAAACCCCTAAACCTTCAAGCCTTAAACCCCTAGAACCCTAAACCGCTAAACCCTAAACCCTCAACCCTAAACCCGAAGCCTGGGTTCAAGGCTTGGTTGCATCGTCCTAACCATACCTAGGGGGGTCATACCCTACTGAAAGGATCATGGGACTTAGTAGCTAAGGTTATTATCAGGGTAGCTATACTTATAACTACTTATAACCCCAATTATAAGGTGCTTCTAACTATACTTACCAAGTCCTATGATCCTCCAAGTACCCCTTTTTAGGGCACCCTAGTCTTAGTCTTCTGGTTAGCTGCTATATAGAAAAGTAGGTATCCTAAGCAAGGGGGTAGGGTATGAGCCTGTAGGTATTCTCGAAACCCATGCCCGACATGTAGGATACAGATAACTGCGCTTGAAGTTTTCCGGTGACTGAGGTGGAGTTGGTGGAGAAGTTTCTGCATTACCACAGTATCTACCCTCAATGCAGCTGGGACTACACTGGTTTGAGGGTGGAGAGCTGCCAGCTGTGAGGACTCCGCGGTCAAGCTTCGTACTTCCAGACGTGGGATTTAGGGTTTAGGGGTAGGCTCCGCGGCATGTGATCCATTCTCTCGTAGATTTGCGGTGCTCGACAACATGCAAGTCTCGGCCATAGAGTGATCTGCATGTGCACCGGCCTGTAATCCTCAGGCATATGTTAAGTTCGGAGCTTATGCTTGGTTACCTCTATCCCGGTCGTAGGTCTGCATCTCCTGTCTGACCTTGGACCAATGATGGGGCTTGCGGTGAGGGTGAGGAAGACAGTCTGAGACATCACACATATGGGTAGCTCTCTAAGTTAGGGTCCCGCTTTGGTTCCCTAGTTTACGACGACACCCTTTTTGAAAAGGACCCTGCAAGGGAACCCATGAAGAAGCCCTGTTGTCAAATCGTATACCCGAGCCCCAGATCCTGAAGCCAAACCAGTTTAGGTCTGGGTTTTAGGATGATGGGGACCTGAGGTATAGCCACTACCATTCAACTGTTCCTCAAAGTTCCTGAGTTCTTGAGTCTGGTTATAGTATACTATACTATACTGTACTTTTCTATGCTATGCGGTACTATACTCCGAAACCCCCTTCTATATAAGACCCTAAACCCTACACCCTAAACCCTAAACCCAGAACCCATAAACCCTGGACCTAAATTTAAAATTTGCACTTTAAATTATATGAAGGCCCGCCCGAAACTTCGACCCTGAGCTTTATTTGTTTGATGTTCATGTAGTCCTTCTCTTCCCAATGGCTCCTGATTAAGTACCCAGACAGTAGAAACTTAGGCCTTTAGAGTGGTTCCTACGTAGGTAGTCTAGGGTCCAGTATATACTGTACGATTACATGGAGCCTCAGACCTCTAAAAGGGTTTCTAAAACGGTACTTTAGGACTTTAGGGTCTAAGTATGGACTATGTGGGTACATGGAGCCTTCAACCTAATCACATCCCTATAGAACCCTCAAGACCCCTTATGGTACCCTTAAAGGAGCCCTTAAAGGAACTTCGGGCACATGGAGCCTCAGAGTTTCTAGCCAAGCTTCGCAGGCATGCTTTGCCCCAATGGCGTCGGCTTTGCAGAGCACGTGCCGGCGGAGACACAAGGGTAGTCCCATGCTTTCTGGGGACGAAGTTCGAAGGAGTAGGTTCTAAAGCCCAAGCCCTAAGCCCCCGTCGCTATCCTACATGCTGCCGCCCAGCTCGGAGAAGCCGACGCCCAAAGAAAGCAATCCGCAAGCACCAAACCGTGACACGACCGCCGTGAACCCCCAAGCTTGCCCCAAAGGAAGAAGGTGGGATAGGTCTGCTCTCATAAAGATCCCGGAAGGGTGACCATGGATGCGAGCAAGCAACGAAGGTCAACGGGTCGAGATCACGAGCCTATTTGGGAGTTTCCGAAAATAAGGGACCCTAATATAGCACCCTAAATAGTAGGATCCTTATTATAAGGACCCCAAGATAAGGTACCCCCTATTTTCGGAAACTCCCATTTGGCATGACTTGAGTTCTAAGTCCGAAATCTGAAGATGGTAAGCTATAGACTCGAATGTTTGCAAACCCTGCTCAAGACGCCCGAACCGTAAACCGTCTCTCCTGAAGCAGGCTCTGTGTCACACATCCTTGTTAAAGTTCAGGGTTTACGGCCTAGGATGGTTGTCGTTCAGCTCTCAGGATCAGTAACCAGATATTTTGCGGCATGAACAGGAGAAGCACCTGCGCGCCCTGTGGGAGAAGTGCCCCACAGGAAAGAAAGTGGCCGGGTTCCCAGCTTTTTAGGATGCGGCTGAATAATTGTGTCGAGCTGATCCCTAAGGGTCCATATGCCCAATAGTATATACTTTGGCCCTAAAGTGCCCCCAAAAGGGATTACTTGAAGGCCCCAAAAAGTAATGTTTGGGTGCATGGACCCTTTTAGGGGATGTTGCGACTTCGGGGACGACTCCGACAAACGAAAACCCAAGGCTTCGCTCTGAACCCCAGGGTTCCTGCACCTCAAGCACGAAATGAGCAGTTTAGGGATTTAGGGATTTAGGGTTTAGGGTTTTAGGGGTTATAGGGTTTAGGGATTATAGGTTTTAGGGTTTAGGGTTTAGGGTTTAGGGGTTATAAGTTTTAGGGCTTAGGGCATAGCAACCCTTATTGCACATGGAAGCCTCCCAGGACCCTTCCATCCTAGGTAGTATTACGGAGACCCCTAAGAGGGCACCCTTCTTAACCCTACTTCTGGCTCTCTTAAAAAGTGACCTTACTGAGAGGGTCTATATTTTGAAGGGTCGCCATAATCCTAACTCCTGTAAAAGGGCTTGCATAAGGCTCATCTACCGCACAAGGATTTATTGTTTGTTGTTTGTGGCTATGGCGCCCTTGCTTTAAAGGGTGGCTTGGACCAACCCTAAAGGGGTTTAAGGCTCATCGACCATCTATAGATTCATTATGTGTGGGTATACGGCAGTTTGCGTTTAAGGGTCATGTGGTCCTCAAGGTAGGAGGCCGCTAAACCCTACACCATAAGGGACCCTAAACCCTAAACCCTAAAGGACCCTAAACCCTAAGCCGAGGTTGATTGCGCCAAGGATCTCTGGCAAGAGTGGCGACTGCCAAATCTCGTGCTCTTGCTGCTCGGGCGAGTAAAGGGTCGATCCGCCCTTAGAGGGATCCTTTTTATTAATCCTTGTTCTATAAGGGCTTTGGGGCTTACGGTTTAGGGGTTACTATTACGGGTTCTATAAGGGCTTTGGGATTTACGGTTTACGGGTTATTAATACGTGTTCTATTTTAGGGTTTCGTGCTTAGGGGTTATTAATACGGGTTCTATAAGGGCTTTGGGGTTTACTCTTTAAGGGTTTTTAGTACGGGTTCTGTAGGGGCTTTAGGGTTAGGGTTTAACGGTCATTAATCCTTGCTCTAGAATCGCTTGGGGGTTTACGGTTTAAGGGTCCATGTACCTATAGCATATATGTACTTTGCCCTTAAAGAAGTAGTCCCTATAAGGTTACATTGGGGCCGAAGTACATACTGACTATGTGACAGTCAAGGGTGCCCCGGGTCATCTGAATGCGCCCTTCGATGAAGAATCGCTTGCTGGCTACATGAGTTTATGCCACCAAAAAAGGTCAACTATTTAAACGCGTACTACAAGCCGGTATCTGGAAAGGGTTGGAGATGCAGGGTTCAAGGTTAATAGCACAAGCTTCAAAATCTGACCATGTTTCAGGTGTATGGTTTGGGGCATTTGCCGGAGAAATCTGAGGGATGTTCTCGAAAGGCTTCTACTGCTTGCGTTTTTTTTCGTATGGCTTCCGAGTGTATCCAGATCATCCGAGAAACGCGGAGGAGTGCACTTGCATGTGCATCGCACACCGTCTTTATCAGCTTTTGGCGCGCAGGGTGCATCCTCCGCCTGAAAAATTTTATGCCAGGGACATAAACCCTGGTGGGTTCTGCTAAGCGGATTGCATGCGGCCATGCCCATTGTCGCGACTCATCATGTCGACAAAATTGCACCAGGAATGCATATCCAGTTGCGCTTTTTTAACCCCATATCACCATCACTGATGTTTCAAGGCTTCCAACCTACCAAGATCGCTCTTCCATGTTGGGCTTCCGGTGAACATTCAGGCACGTTGTCCAAAGACCGCACTGTGCTCGTTGTCCTCGCAGCTAGTAGTCGTAGCTATGGTGGTGGCGGTGGCAGCGAAGGCGAGGGTGGTAGTGGTCTCGGAGGTGGCTGTTGATGTTGACGCTTGCTCGTGCTCGTCCTTGTTCTCCACGGGCTGTTGCAATTCTGCTTCGGCTTGCAAGCCTTGAGCGTAATTTCGCAGGCCACACCTATCACATTCAGGCTAGAGGCTCAGAGCATTCCAGCATCGTCCATCGTAAGCCCGGCATGGACCTTGTAAGACAGCAAAGCCTTACTCAAGCTCAGGAGATACAATCACTGCCACGGACAAGTGCTGATCTGCAGGGGGGCACCTCAGATGTGCTCAGTTGTGTTCGGAATTCGTGCGTTGTGGCCCCTAAACCCTAAACCCTAAACCCCTAAACCCTAGACCCTAGACCCTAAACCCTAAACCCTAAACCCTAAACCGTTGTGGCCTATTTCCCCTTCAACGACCAGAAGCCTCAGTCTGAGATCCGATCCCTAAGTTCCATCCTCACCCTTTCTGTGTTTATGCATCTTTCGATGTATGCATATATATATATATATATCATCACGATGTTTACAAGACTTTTGGACCCGTGAATTCTCCAAGCACGGCCGGAGACTGACACATGATTTTGACGATTCGCAGTCGTTCGTTGTTGTTGCTTGTTCGTTGTTTCAAATTGTCATGTTCGTCAACGAAAAACCCTAAACGCAAATTTTAACTTGAGACTACTGCTAGTCATGCTATGCTGATATACTGAGGAACCCGAAGCCCTAGACTCTACACCTAAACCATAGGTTGAACTTGAAACTTCAATGCAAATCATGCTGTCCTGCTAAACTGAGAAGCCCTAAACCCTATTTTGAACTTGAAAATACTGCTAGTTAAACACTAATCGGAACTTGAGAAAATAATGCTAGTCATGCGATCCTGGTATACTAATTAAGGAACTCTTCCCACTAAACCCTAGCTAGTCTTAACTTCAAAGTAATGCTGGTCATGCTGTCCGCATATACTGGGGAGCCCTAAACCCTAAACCCTAAACCCTAAACCCTAAACCCTAAGCCCTAAACCCTAAACCCCCGAACCCCGAAGCCCCTCGAAATCGCCCGCCAAAAACTCTAAGGCCTAAACCCGTACACCTTAAACCCTACACCCTAAACCCCTACACCTTAGGGTTTAGGGTTTAGGGTTTAGGGTTTAGGGTTTAGGGTTTAGGAAACCCTAAGCCAAGATGCTGAGGAGCCGCGCCCCGGCAAGATGTTGCCCTTCCCGTCGGCGGACACTCCGGCCGCTGGCGCGCCGATGATGCAGTGCCGTGGTTTCTAGGGTCTAGGGTGTAGGGTTCAGAGTTTGTGGTTCAGGATTTAGGGCTTATAGGGTCTAGGGACGAAAGGTTTATATACCATAGAGGGATTTAGAGTATGAGGGTACATATAGGGAAGAGTGCATGGCCCCTAGTTCTACGGGTCATTTGGTCCTCAAGGCAAGGCCAAGAGTTTTAGTTCTAGGGATTTAGGGCTTAGGGTTTAGAGGTGTGCAGGTTCCTGAAATGAGGGTGTTGCGGTTTCCGAAATTCAGGGTTTTCAGGTTTTGGATGTAGCATGGAGGGATATGAGATGCCAGATTCTACTGTTCGTCATGCTCCTAAGGCCCTCTGCTTTGAGTATTTCTGAGAGCGTGAGCCCTTCACCCCAGCCCCGATGAGCTAGAATCGGTACATCAAGATGCAAGTCCGACATGTACTGAGCTTGACACCCTACAGCAACGACAAATTCTACAGTCCCTAGAAGCTCTTAATCCGTAAGCCCCAACGAAATTTCAGACTTACACACACAAGCCTCGGCCCTAACACGGCTCGACCGTGAAATCTTCACTCCTCGCCTTCATCCACTGAAACCTTGAACCTCTCAGCCCTAAATCCTGAATTCCAAAGCTCTGAGCCCTCCTTCCCTACACAATTCTAGACCCCTCACACCACCTTAAGCCCTAAACCCTAAACAACCCCAAACCTGAAAGGAATCCTGAAACCCAAAGGCTCCATGTGCCCATATAGCATATACTTAGGCCTTAAAGGGGGTTCCTATATGGGTACTTTAAGGCCTAAGTATATAAACCCTAAACCCTAAACCCTAAACCCTAAACCCTAAACCCTAAACCCTAAACCCTAAACCCTAAACCCTAAACCCTAAACCCTAAACCCTAAACCTATACTATATGGGCTTGGGGAAAGGAATCCTTAAAGAAGCCCTCCTCCGAGGTCGCGGGGTCCGCCCTCTGTGGCCCCGTCCTTCGCGCCGAGCTCCAACATGACCTCGGGGCAGCCTTCTCTTTGGGAAGTTGGGGGTTCTGGGTTTAGGGTTTAGGGTTTAGGGTTTAGGGTAGTTGGGGGTTTTGGGGTTCGGGGTTTAGGCGTTTAGGATTGAGGGTTTGGGGGTTTAGGGGTTCTGGGTTTGGGGGTTTAGGGGTTCAGGGTTTGGGGGTTTAGGGGTTCAGGGTTTGGGGGTTTTGGAGTTCAGGGTTTGGGGTTTTGGGGTTCAGGGTTTGGGGGTTCAGGGTTGAGGGTTTGAGGCTTTTTGGGCTTAGGGGTTAAGGGGTTTGGGGTTGAGTGCGAGCCCACGGGTGCCTATCTCCGTATAGTCATAGTCTCTATACTCCAATCTTTGATTCAGCACCCTATACTTTGCACACTAAAACATACACCTCTATTCCTTCCTAATTCAGCTAACTTTGCTAGCTTCGCAACATGAATCAAGCAATGCTGCATGGGTAGTTCTCTGAATTACGGCCCCTTGGTCCCCAAAATGGTACGTCACCCTAGGCAGGAGGACCCTAAAAGGGTCCCTCAAATTATTGAACTACCCGCATGGCTACGTTTGCAGTTGGAAGGTGGTGATTATGGCTTAGGGTTTAGGGTTCAGGGCGAGCGTTGGGGATGTGAGTCGATACCTAAACCCTAAACCCTAAAACCTTAACCCTACACCCTAAACGTATGCGCGGAAGTTGCCACTCCGTTGAACCTTTTCCAATGCCAAGGACCAAACCCCAAAGCCCAATCCCTCAACTCTTAGTTAAGCCTTTCGTAGCTGAGTAGGTGACCTTTAACCTCTTGCAGCTTCTATGACCCTAAACCCTAAACCCTACCATACTTGCAAGGGTTAACCTGTTTTGGGTTATAGGGTATTCAGACCCTATGGGCCGCAAGCAAGGCTAACTTGGGGTTCCTATAAGTTCACATTGGGGTTTATCATCAGAACCTACGAAAAAGTACGGTTTGATAGTTAGAGTTCGGGTTCAGTTAGGGTTTATAATGAGAACCCTACAAAAAGGTAGGTTGTGGCAGTTGAAGCTAAACTCTCAAGAACGGCGACCTCAGGAGCCAAGGCGGTCCCCCGAGCGTCGCCAACCTGCAAAACCCAGCTCAACCGCAGCCGCAGCAGCCGCAGTCGCAGCGGCCGCCGCAGCCACAACCACCGCAGCAGCCGCAACAGCCGCGACTTGGTGCGCTTCGTGTGGGTTGTTTCTGTTACGAACCCATTGCTTCCAATATCCGATTGAGGAATCTACTTTAAATCAAAATAAGGATCCTACAGCCTTCAACTTCAGGCGTTCTCGGAGTACTTCGGGTCTCAAGGCCTCCACGGGTCTTCTTTACAACAGCATTCACATCTCCAGCTTGAGTCCTCGCCGACGGATACACATGTATCCAACGAAGAAATGTAGAAACTAGAGGTGCGTGGATCTTGTATCCACAAGGAGGCATGTGCATGGATACATCTATCTATCCGTCCATCCATCGATACAAGTAGTACTTTCTATCTGCCCATTCAATTATCCATATATCTGACAATCTATCTATCGATCCGTCTATTTATTTGTCCATGTGTGAATCTGTCTGTCTATCTATGTCTGCCTATCTGTGTAGATAAATAGATACACATGTGACACATGTGTCTATGTATGTATGTATGTA